CCCTGCCTGCCACCCTGCCTCCATTCAGGGCCTCCCAAAGCCAGGACACTGCTAACCAGAACTTTTGAACATTTCACCTGGGGGGAACGACGAATGGAGAATGTGTCGACCGGCAGCTGCAATTTTCTCGGGCGCGCCACTTTCCTGGTTGGTCATAGTCTCCATGTTATGGGGGCCCTGGTCCAAGCCTGCTCGCTCGCCTCGCTGGTCGGAAATGCGGCCTCACCAGGGGAGCAACATGAAACCGACACCGTCACTCCCTGGACCTACCAGGGGTGCGTTCTGACAAACGGGTGGAGGCGAATCCAGTCGCGGAGAGGAGGGAAGGGTAGCGGTATCGGTACAGTGGTTTCGTGTCGTGATGACTTGCGCGGTGGTTTCGGACAGCGTGGATCGTTCAACCTCGAACGGTCGCGGCTGTCTGGTCGCGCAGGATCTTTCGATATCCGCCTATTGCGGGCCACTGGTGGCGTTCGGCCGTGAACACCCGCGCTGGGACCGCCGCCGCGTCGGCACGACACGAACCTATCGTATGTATCTCCCTCCTCTGATCCACTGCCTCCCTCAATCTCTCTCTCCATCTCTCTCTCTCTCTCTCGCTCTGGACATCTCCTCCCTCGCTCGGGTGTTAGTTCACGGGGGTGCGGTAAGCGCGGGTTGGAGAAACGTGCACCTCCCGTGCCAGGCCCCTCAGGGGCCCTCTCGGGCCACTCCTTCAATCCTCGACCACCCCCACGATCATTAGGGAAACCAAAAGGTACCTGTACCACTGCTTCCCGGACCTCGCCGGGCGTGCGTTCTGACCAGAATTTTGATGCGAATCCAGCGGTGGCGACGAGGGCCTCCCAGGAGGCCCCCCAGAAGGGGAGCGGTATGGGGTACCTTCTCCTCCTCCTCCTCCTCCTCCTCCTCCTCCTCCTCCTCTGGCGACCAGCCTCTCGAGCATATTGCTCTCGCTCACTCCGGGTGTCCTTCCGTGTGTTAGTGGGCGACGAACGGTATGATAGAAACTTTTCCGTCACCGGGGGCGCCTGCCCCCAGGGCGGCTGGAAACTTGACACCCCGAGGTGCCACCGTGGGGGCGTAAACCTTCCGGCCGCCCTGGGACGGGCTTGCCCGACGGCGGAAGAGTTCATCTTGCGCCGTTCCTCGAGGCCGCCAGGTGTGCTCGAGCGGGGGAGGGGCCCGAGAGGCGGGGAGGGCGAGGCCGCCCGGAGAGAGGCGAGGGCGGCGAGGGCCCGGGGGCCCTCGGGGCCCCGTGCGCCGGGCGCTCGCCGACGTGGCTTGCCGACAGGGGATGGCCGGCGGCGAGCGAGGAGGCCCAGAGAGGCGCTCAGGAGGCCCCCGGAAGGCCCCCAGGAAGGCCCCAGGCAGGCCCCCCGGGAGGCCCCCAGGAAGGCCCCCAGGAGGCCCCCAGGAGGCCACCAAACGGCCCCCAAGAGGCTTCCAAGCTGCCTCCAAGAGGCCCCCGAAGAGGCCGAGATCCCAACGAACATCCAGTAGGCTTCATGCCCACAACCCAGGCACGGCGGCGGGATGGGCCGAATGCCATTAGATCCGCCGCCCCCTGCTTGCAGGGGTGCACGGCGTGCTGGATGATTCACGTTTTGGTTTTGGTTCTTTTTCTAAAAGAACTCCCCAATGGGCTTCGGCCCGTCCCGCCGGCCACCCGCAATTTTCCCAAAATCCATCTGTCAATGCCCCAAAACGGCCGTTTCGCTCGGGACGTCCTCAAAAAATCGCGAAGATGGCCCAAGATGGCCTCCAAGTCCGCCCGAGATGGTCCAAGACGGCCTCCAAAACGGCCCAAGAGAGTCCAAGACGGCCCAAGACGGCCCAAGAGGCCCCCCAGAGGCCTCCCAGACGGCCCAAGAGGCCTCCAAGAGGTCCTCCAGGAGAGTCCGAAGAGGCCAAAATCATTGATTTTCCCTTGGTTTTTGAAGGATTTTGGCATTTGCGCCTTTTCGGCTCTCCGACGGCTCAAGACGGCCCAAGAAGCCCCCAAGATCGCCCAAGAGGCCCCCAAGAGAGCCCCATGATGGCCCAAGTGGCCTCCAAGATGGCCCCTAGAGGGCCCCAAGAGGGCCCAAGAGGCCTCCAACACGCCCAAGATGGCCTCCCAGACGCCCAAGATGGCCTCCAAGACGGCCCTGGAGCATTCCAAGCGGGCCCCAAGTCGGCCCATAGAGGCCCCCCAAACGGCTTCCGACGGCTTCAGACGTGCCAGGAACCCACCAAGATGGCCGAAGTTGGCTCGAAGCTGGCCCGAGACGGCCAAGATGACCTTCAAGATGCCCACGTGTTCCCCGAAGGCTTTCCAAACCGATTCGGGGAACACGTGGTCCGATAGCTTGGCAGGTCTGGCCTCAACGTTCGGCCACATAGGCGCTTCCAAAAAGGCAGGGGGCGGCGGTGATTCGCCGTAGGCGTCTTCGATACTCGGCGGTGAGCGAGGGGGGGAAGTGGGAGGAGAAGGCCTTTTCAGAAGGCGGCGGCACTTCTCAGAAGCCTTGCGCCTTCTGAAAATTTTCCTCTGTGTCTTCGGGGAGGGCTTAACCAACTTGTCAGAATGCATCAGGTCTTCCGAGCCTTCTGAGAAGGTCCGCCCCTTCTCACTTCACCCCCCCGTCGCTCGCCGCCGACAGGGGATATGTCGACCCCTATCCCAGACTTTGTGGGGTTTTCGAATGGGCCTAAAACTTGGGGCCCGACCCGGGAACATACGGTACGGGGGCGCCCATCCTCGGGAGGGATGCGTCCGAAGAGCCCCCGGGGGTGTATGTCCGAATTCCCTTCTTTTCTGAACGGTTTGATTCGTCATGGCAAACTCGGGAGGGTTGGGGCAACAAAGAAAACACCTGCGAAGTACAGATCTGTGGATCTGCCTCCGGGGCTCCCTTCTGAGCCCAATCGGCGCCGAAGCCCATGCGGCCGCTGAGCGGACGCAGGATCGAGCCCCATCGGCGGCCGAGCCAGCACCGCTTCTCCGGTGTGTTGTCGGAGCTGGGCCCGTTCGCCTGCCCAGTCGGCGGCCGAGCGGGCCCAGACGCCGTGCGGACTCAGAGAAGGGAGCCCTGGGGGAGGGTACCCCCCGACAAGCTCCATGTGTTGGGGAGGGTACCCCCCCGACACTTTTTACGTCGGCGGCTGGGCAGAGTCACTGCGCTGGCGAGGAAGCGAAACGGCCGTTGAGCGAACTGTGCCACCATGCAAGAGGGGAGGAGAAGACGTCGAAGCGACGGCGGAGAGGAGGAGGAATCGGGCCGGGGCCGCTCAGGGGAACGGGTCGTTCCCAAGGGCGCGTGGCGCGGCCGTCACCGCCGCGGGGCCAGCAGCAGCAGCGAGGCTGGGGGGCCAGCGGCGGCGGGGGCAAATGTACCCCTCGACACATGAGGCCAAGCCGGCTGATCTGGCGACGGAGCGCGCTGGTTTTGCACAGAAGCGGGACCCGTCTCCAGTCCGCGCACCACGTAATCCACGCTTGCGTCTCCTTGGCTCTGGGACCTACAGCCCAAGGCGAAGTCGGCGACATTCTCACAACACGTCGACAACGGCATGCCCAAGATGGCTGGCATGGACAGGTGTAGCGACCAGCGCCCATCACCCTGCGTGCTCTCTGCTCGCTTTGTCCCATGCCGTCCTATCTCCTCAGCGCCCGTGCTGCCCCACCCTCACGTGTGTGTGTGTGCGCGCGCGTTGCTTAACTCTCCCGCTCATCCTCGTGCTGAAGGTACTGCAGCTGGCTCCTCCACCTCCTTCATCTCCTCCTCCTCCTCCTCCTCCTTCTCCTCCCAACTGCCCTCTTCACGCTTCTTGTCCATCTCTCCCCCCGTCCCTCCATATTCATTCGCCCAGGCCCCTGCGTCATCCTTCACCCCTTTCCCCAGCAGGCAGCCCTCCGACGTCGTGTGTTCTCGGTGCGTGGCCCCCCAGGGCCCTCGCCGAGGGTCGTCGCTTCGTCCCGAGCTGCTTTCCTGCTGGCCCCGGTGCCCAAAGAAGGCCCGCGGAGACCGAACGTTCTGGAGAAGCGGCAGCTTCCAGGCAGCCACGCCGTCGGAACCCTGGAAGCCTTTGGGCACTTCGGCCCCCCTGCCGGCTCTTCTCCCCGAACCGATCTTTGACGGCCTCGTGGCCCAGAGGCGGCATCCGGATGCGGAGCACTGAGCAACAAGCCTGCGGAGCGATGGGGTCCCCAGAGGTCTGGGTCCTCGGCTTCCCCCCCCCTTGCGCCGATGCTGAACGGGTGAGCTGGTGAGACACGGTCATGCGTGCACAACTGCGAGAAAGCACGCACGAGAAGGAAGCACTCCAGCTGGAGTGGCTGCTGAGACAAGCGCCCTGAACAGAAGACTCTTGAAGTCGTCGGTCGCTTGACTCCCCCCCTCCTCCTTGATCTCGCGCAGACGCCTCCCCCTTCCCTGGAAGCATGCCGTCTCCGACGCTCCGGCAAGAGGGGTCATTATATGACAAATACCAAGGGGAGGAGGGGGAGCAGGAGAAGGGAGGTTAGGGATTCTCATTTCATTTGGGCTCAGGTGAGGGACGCGCCCATGCTCCAGACAGCGGGTCGACCCAGAGCAAGCAGCAACAGAGAGAGCAGAGGAGGGGGCAGAGGATCGCGACGAGGACATAATCCCAGAGGGTGGGGAGAGGAAGAGGAGAAGCCCAGGGAGGGCGGGGGAACAGGGGGAGGAGGAGGAGGAGGAGGAGGAGGAGGAGGAGGAGGAGAAGAGGAGGAGGAGGAGGCGGCGGAGGAGGAGTCGTCTACCTGGCTCGCTGGAGCCCCAGGAGGCAGCACGGTGCACGTCCGTCTGTGTCCGCTGCCCGCCTGCACACTCCTCTCCCCCCCCAAAAAAAGCACTCCCCCCCCCAGCGCCGAGCGTGCTGGGCGCTGGGCCTCGGCACGGAAGACCGCCAGCGTGTGTCGGAGGCCGTGGAACTGCAGGGCGTGGCGGGGGCGCGCTCGCGAGCGACGAGCCGGGCCCGTGATCCAGCAAGAC